CATATCGAAGCCATACCGTTGGTTTGTGGTCAAAAGATTCGATAGATTTCGTCTCGAAATCCTCCATAAAGAAGTTAGCTATGACCGGGCTGAGCGGACTTTCCCTAGCTACTCCGTCCGTTTGCTCGTAGAAATCGCCATTCCACAAGAAGTTACAACCAGTGAGACATGTCCAGAAATGCTTAACTGTGTCATTGGGGAAGGTACTTGATATCAAGTCAAGAGATTCCGTCAAAGGCACTTTTGTGAATAGAGACACGAAATCAAAGCTGACCATCTACCTACCGAAAACTGAAGAAGGATCCCACCCAAGCCATACTCCGAAACATTGAGTATAGAGAAAGATCAGATTAGCCACGTGTTGCGAAGCCCCGCTCCGCCTCTCCCCCACCACAACCACTCACACATAAATACAACTTGCGGTGGGGAACGCGTCAGTCTGCTACCAGAATCGGACATGGAAGCACCTCTGAAGATGCTAGCCAGGCGTGGTAGCGAAACGTCAGGAAAAAAATCCAACTTACGATGGCCATTAAGCCCGAATGAAAACACTTTATCAAGTCGTTTACATACCTTGCCCAGGAAAATTACGTATTTCCAACTGAAAAAGGGCCAACGCAGTCAGGTAGGGAAATTGAAACGATATGAAGATGTCCTCAACTTGGAAAACTTTCGGATCGATCGTGGTGACTGTGAAACTATAGCGCTGGATAAATGTGTATAGCAACCAAGTAACCGTCAACGCTCTCCGTATTTCTAACGGCAAAGGCAAATGATGCGGAGAAAAGAACGAGATAATAGCTGGTCCACAACAACGAGCGTCTTACGCTGCAAGGGCGTGCAATCAATATGAGAGAATGTTGGTTGTTCCAGAAGAGGCTTATTTAGCCATCAAAGAACTCAGAAATAACAATGCTGCAAAAATACATCATATACTCGTTAGCAAGGTTATATCATTTATGATGATGATAAATTTACTATTGGGTTGCTACCTACCGCTTTTTCGTCTTATCCACATACTTGTCAAAATAAGCCTATTCAAATTTGATTTATATTAATGTTAAGTGTATCCCACATTTATTGATAATGTATTAATTATGTAACACTATGACTGAAAATATATGAAAGCTTATAGTTGTATACACTCTATAACCATATTTTTTGTCTCCGCGTATACCTAAGTACTGTCTTAGAAATCAGAAATCAAATGTCATAATATACCCCTGCCTGTGTCATAACCATCACCAAGAGGTAACTCTTGCGCACCCAACTCGGGGTTTGTTTCAGCATCGAGCACTTATAATAAGTCAAATATAACTGCTTTCTTTTGAATACATACATACACTAAAATCGGCTTCAAAAGTTTTACTTTTAAAAAATAATTAGTTATTCTCATTCCATGAAACTATAATGTTGTCTAGTTGCTTGAGCGACGCGCAAAGTTTTTTGAACCACTTATCCATAACTTGAGCTTTAATGGTAAATATAAACTGTGGCTAAGCTCCTCCACTCCACCCAATTATATCCAGAATGATCCGACAAAACATGGGAAAGTTCTTGCATGAAGGGCATTACGTAGACTATTTATAGATGAGAAAAAAAACAAAATATTGTTAGCAAAACAACCAACCGCTCCGGTCGTCGATCATGACTAGCCCTAATTGCTTCTTACGTGTCGGCACAATAATACAAGTATTTCGATAATGTTGCCAACAGAGGATAAATTAATTTTCACGCGCCAAGGGGTTCGATTGACTTTATAGTACGAACACTTTTGTTGGTTTCCAGATAGTGTTATTCTTTCTGTAACTTTTGACTAGATATTATAAGGCAGTCATAATATGTTTAGGTATGACACACATACACCTACGGAAACATCACTTTTTATCAAAAAATTTTACAAAAATATATTGTGAATCAAAGGAAAGGAAAAAACATGTCATACCGTCAAATCAATATACTTCTTGTCCTTTCATCAAACTTTTACGGTTGATAAAAGTACATTTCTTTTCTGTAGTGTCTAGTTGATTAAATATTCCGATCGCGACAAGGCAGTGCCCACACTAAAGGTGTTTTGGTTGATTGAGACCAAAAACCTTCAATATTACAATAGGTCCGAATCCAAAGTCGCTTTTTGCTGGACAGTATAAAAATTTGGCTCAATGGGCTATCGAGGTCTATTTATCAGATTATAAACAGAGGCCTCGACAGAATAAAATATGATACATGCTTGACCCTACCAGCTGATTGAACTGTGTTGTGTTTGACAGCTAAAATATTGTCATAAGGTTTCTTGTAGAAAGCTTTTAGCTATTTACAGAATAAATTGTTCTAGTAATGAAGTATTTTAGCTTCAGTCAGTGTGTTTTCGAATGTCAACACGATCATAACATTTGAATAATAACTAATTTATATTCGGTCTTAGAGCTGAGACATTGCGTTGCTTTTTTACGCCTTTGTACTGAGAGAAAAGACGGCTTTACTTTTATTATTTTGCGCTAGAATAATGATGTGATTTTCCAAATAAACCTCTGTTATATGCAGATTTCTTTGTGCTCGCTTTAATACAAATGAAAAAAGAAAGCATTTATTTGAAATTATTTTTATAATATTTTTGAGAATTCGGTTATTATAGCTGCAAAAGGGAATTTCTGCTAGTATTCTTCCGTTAATTATTAAACCTATTTGCCCTTCTCCAGCCATTCGGTTAAATAGCAAACATGGGAAGGGCTAATTTATAAAACTAGACTGGAACCTAGGTACCTGTATCTTTTATTTCAAGGAAGATGGATAACATTAATGCAAATAAAGTAAAGTTGGAAAATCGATTGGGCTATAATAATGATCCTTTAAACATTAAAATGTTTGTTTCACAATTTCAGCTGATATCATTGCTTCTAGCCGGCGATTGTGTCTATCACACTAATATAGCTACTCCTGTGATTCTGAGCTGTAAGCTGCATGCAACTTGTAACGGTTTTAATTACTTTGAATTTAAAAGATGTTATTGCTTATGGCAGCTGTTCATCGGAAAGCATTTCTGGTCGTGTATAAGGAGAGTTTACTGAGGGCGCCACGAAGTCTTTATTTACAGAGTCTCAAACCTCGAAATAGACCTCAATATTAAATCTGAAATATAATTTATAAAAAGAAATAATACAGCAACGCTCTCCACTTAATTATGTTTATTGATAGTTAAATAGAAAAATTACAAAATCTATGAGGTTGATTTATTGAGAATCATAAATGTAAGAATAATTTGATTCCAACCCAGTAATACACTTAACTAAATATTATTGTGTAAAATAATAATATTGTTCGATCATTTTATTTAAATTGGAACCCTTTCTACTGGTCTATCTGCCCTTAAAATTCACATGCTCAACCGGACAGCGAACTGAACATAGAAATGAGTCATTTCGTTAAGGTAATGCTTAATAAAAAAAATATAAAAGAACCTTGTTGGGTTTATCTGCTCTGAAAATTCATATGCTCAACCGAACACTGAACTGAACATAGAAATGAGACATTCCAACTAGGTAATGCTCAATAAAAAAGACTTCGTTGAGTCTTCTGCTCTGAAAATTTACATGCTCAGCCGAACAGCGAACTAAACATGGAAATGAGACATTCCAATTGGGTAATGCTAGGTAAAAAATTATAATATAAGAGATAAAATTACACGTGAAGAAACCTGTGGTCACTGCTTCCAAGTCGAGGTGTCATCAGGGACGATAGGCACTATCCATCAGGAATCATGAAAGTGACCTCAGAAGTAAGGGAACATGAAGTTTACGGAAGCATGCCTTCTTAGTGACTGGGACTAATTCTAGGCCTGGATGTAGAACCCTATCAGAAAAATAAATCACTGACGGTCTCTTCTTATTTGAAGAAAGGTGAAATAGCCACAAAACTTGTCTTTTAAGTTTATAATCAGACACAAAAGTACATGACACACCCTGAACAAGGGGCTCCTCGTATACCATGACTTGGTACACAATACAGGCACTGGCATTACCAGAGGTGGTTGGAGATAAAGATAGGCTGGAGAAATAATTATAAACTTACGGGATGTTCAAGGTATAATAGGATTTGTCACATAGCTGGCATTTTCCAATAAAATCACAAAAAAATAGCCGAGTGGACGAATAAACTATCTATTTAATTAGCCATAAATGACACTCCAAACCACAGAGAGAAATTTAAACGATTCACCCCTTCAAGAGACTTTTAAGAAAACTTAGCACGTCTCCAAAGAAAAAAGGGCTAGCTGACGTCACCGACGTCGACTGGCTTAACCAAGCTACCAAGGAAGAGTGGCCGTTTTCAAGCAAGGTCGAGCGCAATTCAAATAATTGCAGAATGAAGCTAGCCGAAAAGGTGTCGCTAGCGACCGGAACGATTGGTATTATTCGGAAGGATATAGAGCTGGGCGAAAATCATTAAACAGAGATGGTATGGTGCCACCTGAATGGAAGTAGTACTTACATAAAAGTCAGGTTGACTCCTAATTACAATCTAACATTACAACAATTATTATAAACAGCAATACCGGTACAATTAAAAACACCTAAAATATAATAAATTTACATACTTAAAATAATAATAAAATGACAAAGTAGCTTAATTGCTACAAACTGTTAACCGGATCAGGATTGACAAAAGGCCAAATATTTTCTGGTTTTAACTTTTATGAAATTTGTTTGCGAAGAAAATTGACATGGCAAATTGGAAAACAAAACACAAAATGCGGCTGTTATATAGAGGATCCTTCAAAATAAAGACGATGGGTAGTGACAATTGCCTACCTACCTGCGAGAGGAAATGGTTCTTATGAATCATAGTAAAAAAACACCATTCCAATTCAAAATTAAATTAATAGATGATTCCTTTGCCAAAATGTATGCGTCACCTTATTGGTTCCATATGTAACCGTTAGATGTTAAATGGGTTCAAACTTTAACCGAATAATTTTTAAAAAAACTTTTTTCTTGTTCCAGATTTCCTGAAATGAAAACAGTAACCAACTGTTTCGTACTGAACTTAGCTGTGAGCGATATTCTCTTCGCATTGACCATTCCAGTAGTTGCATATACAAGATTCACACAGTCATGGGAATTAGGTGACATAACTTGCAGAGTTGTTCCATATATTCAGGTAAGGATAGTGGGCTCGCTAAATTCATTTAGGTACCACTTTGAGTTCAACAAGCCTAAAGGTACGGTTTGTTAGGACAGTGCGCGACGCACAACTCACAACGTAAACGTCAGCAGAATCTATTTAGCACGACGTTGACACACTGCTGACGCTGTACATCGCGCTCACAGAATGGGAGTTGTGCGTCGCGCACTGCCCTAACAAACCGTACCTTAAGTGTTGAGATAGTTCTGCTTAGGTTCAAAAAATCAACGTATTCTATGAGGGGGGGGGGGTTATTTTTAACAAACTTTTTCATTCAATATTTCAGGAAAAAAAAAAAAAAAGATCAGCCAAAAATTACCTCTCTCTTTATTTCTGCTTCCCTCCCTTTGCTTTGGCGGGAGACAAAGGAAAACAAATAATTTTATAACGAGCGACAAAAGTAACTCTAAAGTGCTTCGCGATTCCTATAAAATGGCTTCCACCGTATTATTGTCTTCTGTTGCTAAATTGAAATTCGAATAATATCAAAGATGTTTTTCAAGCTCTAAACTAGCGCCCTGTTTTTGATGGACGGCGTATAAAAAAAAGATGTGGAAATATTGCGAAAGAGAATGGAGGTTTACGCGCGTTATTAGACTGTTGTCACCGTTTCTTACTTGAGCCCTAGCCTACAGGGATTTTGGCTAAACCTTGACAGAATTTGCTTTTCAATATTTTCTGTGCGGTTTCAGAATCCTTTTATATACAGGGTGGTCCAATACTTCGGAAACTTCATTTACTGAACGAGATACAAAAAATTAACCCCTACCCACACGTAACACTGATGGCGTTTCCGATTGGTAGATTCAGTGCGCACTGAGTGTATTTGCATCCTTTTAATTGACCTGTAGAAGAAAAAGACATCTACAATTTTTTTGATAAATCTGTTTTTTCTTGGTAATGTTTCTGGAAAAGTATATTAACGTATCTAAGCACTCTGCGCATATTATGTTTATTTTTTGCGCATTTTTCATAATTTAGCTAACGACTCATTTGTTCCTGTTATTTATAGTTTAAAAATACCTATTACATTCTTAATTTTATGTCCATCACCAAATAAATTAATTATTTTTTTTCAGTTTGTTTCAGGTATTGTGCTGCTCTGGACTTTAGCTTTCATCAGTATAGACCGCCATCGATGCATAGTAGTCCCTCCATACCGATCAAAAATGACACCTCTTCAAGCAAATTACGCGTCAGCCCTCATCTGGCTAGCTACGTCCATAGCATTCGTTCCTGTAGCTCTTTGGTTCCGACAAATCCACGCCGAAGATAACGTCACCATTTGTTCGTTAGTGTTTCCACATTCAGATACTGTAAATGTTTCCATGTTATTTATTGTAATTGTAGTAGTATTTGCGTGCCTGTTACCAATGGCACTATTAGTGTATCATTATCATCAGATATTTCAGAAAATTTTGTCCACTAAAAATGCTTGGTCTACATCCTGTGTAGTTTTAAGTGCCGTAGAAATCAAGGGATGTAGCAGGGCACAAACTAGAAGACAAAGTGAACTGAGTATGTCTGACATTTTTGTGCCGTGGCCGAGAAAGTTTTCTACTCAAATGAGTAGTTCAAATGGTAGTCGGCACGGATCTCTAAGTACCCAGGAAGAACTTAGATTAAATAAACATATAAAATGTGTAAGAGTTCTCTTTTTGAATGTAATTGTTGTCTTAGTGATGTGGCTACCCATAACACTAATTATGGTACTTATTCATATAGACGGCAGAAGAGAAAACGATGATATTAATTACTTCTTAAGATCTCATCACTTTATAACCGCTTTAAGTGTGGCCCTATTGAATACCGTTATTAATCCACTTCTTTATGGTGTATTATCCGATAATTTTAGAGCTTGTTTGTTGAAAATATGGTGTAAGCGAAACGTGTCAATTCTAGATACGGCAACGCCGTCTAGCGGTAGGCAAAATAATAATTGTAAAAGTAAAAGACCGAGCGCCTCTTTAAGCGAAAAGAGTGAGAAGAGTGATAGGTTAGATTTCGAGAGGAAATTGGGTGGTTTGATTTGAAGGTTCTATTAGAATTTACGAATTATCATAGACTGCTAATAAAGAAATATTTATTCCTTATCGTTGTGTATTTTTTTTGTGGTAACTTATAAAAATAATTCATTCGAGTTCAAAATCAAAGCAGCACCAACCATGAAAATATAAAAAATAATTTGCAGGGTTCCACCATACCTACTCATTTTTCCTTTCCACAATCCTTTATCCAAAAGTTAGAGAGAGGGCTGGAATATTATCATTTGATGTGCGAGCGATGTATTAATTTTATTTTTCTATGAGTATTGAATAATATGCGTAATATACAGTCGTGAGCACAAAAAGTGGGACTAGCGTTTTTTCCTAATGTAAAACAGGCTCACCGGCTATATCTACGGCAATGACAGGGATTGTCATATTTGATAAAAAATCGATTGTAGAGAAAAGACTGATTTACGCAAAATAGCGAAAAATGACAAGACCTGTCAGGCGGGTGTCCCACTTTTTGTGCTCACGACTGTACATCCATTTTCTATTGATCAATGTGAATGATTACTCATACAGTGAGTTTTTTTTTCATTACTCAATTGTTTTCAACCAATGAAAATATCCTGGACTCATTACTCCACTATCTAAGAGCCAATCAGAAAATTTGATAAGTTGACAACATACTTCAACCTTCCAATCGGTTGTTTTGACAACTGATTTAGAAAAGACTTGTGGTAACCTAACCTCACTCTGTCCTCCAGCTGTCAGAATTGTCAATTAATTTTGTTATGAAAATTAAATAAAAAAACCGTATAACTCGTGCCTATTATCTATTAATCATAGAAAAAGTATAGTATTCTACTCGTGGATAATGGCTACTACCCACTTGGATGATTACACTACTCGCCTGCGGCTCGTAGTGCAAACTTCATCCTTCGTGAGTAATAGCCATCATTACCCGCTCGTTGAATAATATACTATTTATCTATAAGCGTTTGGTTATGACGTTTTTACATAACCATTTTTCTAGTATTTGAGTTATGTCATGAGACTCATAACAAAAATAGTGGTGTTATGGACTAGGTTATGAATTCATAACACAACTATAAGATATACTAATAAACGAAAATTAAGTAAAACATTTTCTTATTTTTCGCATTGTAGATAAAACGTTTTACATCACACGTCCGTTTAAACATGACTACAAAACTCGTGAGATTAGAACGACTAGAAATCGTCGTTCTAATCTTTCACACTCGTTTTTGTAATCATGTTTATAAACGCACTTGTTATCTTGATATTATATATACAGTGTGGTGATTTGAGTGTGCATCATATGGGATTTTTTTTAGGTAATAGCACAACCAAAATACAAACAAGTTCAAAAGTTCTTGCATGTCTGATAATCATATTAGGTGCACTTAGAATGGTTGCAAGTCAAACAGCATACAGGATAGCTCAAAAAATATCAAAATTTACTTAAATAAAATAACACTTTTGCACTTTAAGGAGAGTTTTTTCAAAATGCATAATATCATTAGTAATGTTTTAACTTGTTGAAAAAAAAAAAAAATTGCGACATATTAAAGTTGTGTTGAATATCATTGCAACAAACATGAACTTTGTGATTCCATAAAAATCTTTAAAAGTCTCCTGTCTATTATACATTAATATAATTCATAACCAAAACTGAAGAAAGAAAGCTTTAGATGACATCAGTTTGGCATTTTTCCACCCGTTTCTAACCTAGGATATGTCATTGCCCGAACTTAACCTATTTTTTCTACAGACGTCAAAAAATGATGACATTTTCACACTCATTTCTGTTCGAAAAATGCCACATTGGTTTTATTTACCTTAACGACGTGCACGAAATATTTCGCGCACTAGGGCACGAAATACTTCGTACACGCTCAGAGGCGATATTTCAAAAATACATAAATGGACGAAAATTTACCTCATATTTTCTGGGGTACCTACCCACTTAAACTGAATAAGAGCAGGATATTGAACTTTTTCGATTCACCCTCGAAATACATTAGAATTAGGGTTTCACTCACTTTTTTGACGGTTTTGTGCGAACATCATTTTTTGATTTTTCGGTCAAAAGGTTTGCTGCAATTGCAGAAATAGCTGTATTATTATATTGGGAACTAAAAATTCTTCTACAATTTCTATTTCTTATCAACATTTTTGTCGAAATGATGCCGCGTCGGTCAGACCTTGGGAAAAAACTTTGACAAGCAGTATGTCATGGTGCATGGTGTGTCATTATTTATTAATTTTTTTTTCCGTAGCAACCATTTAACAGGCTGTTCTGAAATAGAATTTCCTTGAATTATTTGATTTTGATATAACTCGAAATTATTTCAACTTTGTCTGTAGAAAAAACGTTGTTTGCAACTCGTGCGCGAAATGTTTTTGGTGAACTCGAACGAAAAACGTTCGTTCTCGTTCACCAAAATGGCATTTCGCGCACTAGATACAAAAATAACTATTGAAATATTTATCTACTGTCAAAATTTGTATGTTACACCGGGAGCTCAAATTGGGGTTAATAATTTTTGTACTACTTTTTTTTGAACGCAACTGTACCTCTCTTACCTCTCTTCTAATTAAATTTTGATAACTTTTGGAAAAACATCGTCCGGGTAAACTGACATATTCAAGAGTAAGCAGAGTAAGTGTCATAATCAGGGGTATGTTGTCAATATTGAAAGTCGGGTGTCATAATAGGGAGTAAGTTTTCATATTCGTGAGCATAGTGTATGCTGTATGACTTGCAACCATTCTAAGTACACCTTGTGATACACCTAATATGATTATCAGACATGCACCAACTTTTGGCCTTGTTTGTATTTGGGTTCCGATTTCCTTCACTCTTTTATTCACCTTTGCTGGCAACATTGAGAAAATGTCAGGTAAAAACGTCAAAACAATAAATGACAGATTTTGGCACGTTTTATTTTTTTATAATTTGAAGTGAAACTTTTTAGGCGGCGGTCTGATATGTGGACGAGAATGGAGAGTGATTTTGATTTGAAAGACGAGTCACGTCTAAACCCATTGCGTTACACGAGAGAGAAAAAAATATAATATACAGAGGAGAGAGAGAGCTGAAACACAGGCCTTCGCTGCAAGACAGAGCGCTAAGTCCAAAGTCTCAGATGCTCGAAGGGGGAATAGTTTAGGAAGCATTGTACCTACAAGAGAAAGAGCCACGTATTCACTGAATACTAGGCAGTGGAAGAAGAAAAAGTGTTACCCGCATACGTGCAGTACAACTCTGATGCCACGGGTGAAAAGCAAGAGAGAAAGACCGACGTATCAGTGTAACGCTCTTTTGTCGGAACAAAAAAATGCTCATAATTGTGCTCGATTATGCTCAGTGGTTATTTTGATTGGGGTGGTCCTTGGTGTTGGTACAGTAAAGAGAGGGCGCCACTAGTTTGTATAAAATTATTTTGATTATCAATGAATAGCTAAACTAGACACTATTCAAATAATTAGATATTATCTAAAAAGATAAATACAAAAATCTGAGAAGATATTACAAATCCAATACCTATCTGACATTTAACCCCTTCGAGAAAAACACAAGTTTTGGAATTCCAAAAACAATAATTTATTGACCGGATGGCGAACTTGTTGTTCTTTAACATTGAAACAAATAAATTGTTTAAAGGTTATTATTGTTCAGTATCCAATTTTATTAAAATAATTTAAGCAGCTTACGGGAAGCAAAACTTAATTTAAATAGGTATATAAAAAGATTGAAATTTAAAAACATTTAAATAGATACCTAAGATGAGGCTTACCTAAATGTAAGTGTTGAAGTGAAAATAAAAATTACATTTAATTTTTGACTGAAAGTCGATCAAATCTATAAAAATATCATTAATGCGGAAAGGTAATAAATAATTCTAGGCAGTTTTGAATATCAAAAACCTGCTAGGTGAAATCAAGGGGCGAGGGTTTCCGGAAGAACTCAACCTTATTACCTCTTAAGTTCAAAATAGGTGAACATAAAACTTATATTTGACTACCTAAAGATTTTACATTAGTTTACGTTGTAAAACTATCACAATATTGATTTGAAGTTAAAAGTTAAATAAACATTTTAAAGGTTAATTATTAATCGACAATATATTATATCGATCAGTACTCGATAGTAAGGAAATAAATTTGTAATAATTATAATAATGCATGTTTATTAGATAATAAATAATGATAAAGAAAACGATAATAAAAGCTAATCTCTGACTCTGATAATAATTAATTAATTAAATTAATAATTATATTTAAACAGTAGTTAGCTATTCTAGCTAAACACTACTATACGGTAAACAATTTAAAATTTAAGTCGGTAATTGAATTCACATAGATACATATTAATTAGCTAATAGAGCTAAACGATAGGGGGCGATAAAGAAAAGGTAAAAATAGGTTACGGAAGATGGCACGTTTAAGACACCCAAAGGTAAGTAATTATACAAGCCTGGACGGAATCCTTGTGAAGCCTCGGAAGCTTTCACAAATTTGAACTCTGGCGGTACCAAACTGGCTGGAGACAACCAGATAATGGTTGGGGATCAACTTCTTACAGGACACAAACTTTCCTTGAAAAGGGGGCCCAGATTTACTCTGAGTTTCAGGACAGCGTGGTTTCAAATTTGTCAATTTTCACTTGTAGAAGTGCAGTCACGGATTTTTCGTCCTGCCGAAGGTGCCTGAATGAAATGAGGGGATATAAGGAGTCATTCATCAGGGAGAAAAAGAAATTTACATACCTGAACGGCCGATAGTAACCTCACTTTCAAAAATTTTCGCAAAAACCAACAATCGGTTGATTTTCCAGGAAATTTTTTAGTAGACACAAGCGAGCACTCTCCTGGCTAGTTATTCGGTAAGAATATTGACTCGATGGCCAAAAATAAAGTTAAAGTTTTAGGATTTTCAATCACTTCTAAAAATCTGGACCACAGATATCTAGACGACCTGTTCGGTCCCAAGACAAAAGAGAAAAAGGGCAAGTCAAAAGTACTCAAATTGGTTCTGTATTTTCTTTTCCCTGTCTGTCAAGCTTATCAAAATTATAAAAATGACAGCGCTACAGGTGGTTCGGAAACAACAGAATTCTCGATATTAGGTTAGGAAAACTAGTCAGAAGAATCATAGATGTCGCTAGGTGTACGAAATAGTACTTTTACACGAGTCCAAAATATATAAAAAAATTAAGAACAGAGTGGCATTTCGAATGTTACAACAGATACACTCAATATGAAGCGAAAGACGTTTCACTTCTACCACGTATAGGTCCATACATGATTTTTTCCAGTTAATGGTGTGCTTGCAAATAAAATAGCATACAAGCCTCGGAGGAAAGTTTTCTGCTTTTTTTGTTATGATTCAATTCTCAAATAAGACAATTAGGGGTTAGTATGAGAACTAATACCCCTAAAATAATTATATCGGGTTTTCAAAAAAAAAAAAAACAATCGAAGATTGCTTTGATTATGGAAACGTACGTCGCACTACTGTTTCTTTATTGGTCTTTATTGTCATTTTGACATTAAAGTTCATTGACAAAATTAAAGAAAAATATTGATAAGACATACGTTAAAAAACCCATAGCAATCTTTGATTGTTTTTTTTTTTTTTGAAGACCCGATATCATTGAGACATGAATCAAGATGCAATTTAGAGATTTAACAAGATTGATTGTTCAATAAGAATTCGTGAAATATTATGCACCAAAACCCGCTAGCTAAGGTATGAGTTCGACAGTGCCACCAAGCTCTTTACCTGCCGAAAAATTGGAAAAATCTCCGATTAATCAGGAACTTATTATTGCACTTCCAATATTATAAAACCTAAACAAAGAAACCTGTAATTCAAATCACTCACCACACTGACAGACTATACAAATAAAATGAATAGCTTCTCATTACACTCAAAATTTATTATCAATTTTACAACGAAGTTAAGCCCTCGTAAAAACCTATTAAAATCTCAGGAAACTTAATCCTGAAATGGAAATTTTCCACCTCAAGATGGCTTAAACAGGTATTTCAATACAAAAACAAATTTATTCCTGGCGCAGGGAAGGCTAATGTAGCGCAGATGGTCCAATCAAAGATTAAAAATATAATTGTAGAAGGTTTGCGCCCTTAACAGTTGTATGAAGTAGGAAGTGTTGTGGGTTTAGGGCAAAAAAAAATATTTAAAGTCTTTTTCAAGGGTATTTTTACCTATTTTGAAAAAGGGGCTCTGGTTAAAGTGAGTAAAAGCACCAAGCACATAATATAAACTTTTTGAGCAATGGAGCTGAACATGAAAAACTTGTTTTAGGTACTCAACATTTCATATACACGTCACGACTTGCCACTTGTGTTTCGGACGTGTATATGAAATGTTGAGTACTTAAAACAAGTTTTTCATGTTCAGCTCAATTGCTCAAAAAGTTTATATTATGTGCTTGGTGCTTTTACTCACTTTGACCAGAGCCCCTTTTTCAAAATAATTGAAAATAGCCTTGAAAAAAACTTTAAATAAAGTCGAAACGTCAGCATTTTTTTAAAATTTAGAAGGGACTTTGAATTTTTTTTGCCCTAAACCCACTACACTTCCTTCTTTATTAAAAATATAGTTCTATTTTGCACACATACTAATCGTGCACAAGCGAAAGCATGTCATATTTGTAAGACACCCTTTTTTTTTGATGATAAAATTTTAAATCACCGTGATTTTTTTAACTGGTGAATCTAGCTAGAGGATTTGCCCATTGCATTTGCAATGTACAATTTATTAAATTATTCATAGTTCCTCTAGTCTTTCACAATATCTCAGGCTACGATCGCCATTTCATAATTAGGGAAATTAGTAGAGTAGGTGAAGTGAGTCTGGAAAAAAATAAGGAAAAATACATTTCATTTAAGTTTCACGATTCGGATGATACCCACATTAAAATCGATCCACTCAGATTTTTGGGTGCATCGCTCGAATTAGAATCAAATTTATATAAATATTGACGATTGAAAATTTTGAAAACAGAATTCAATTGTTTGGATAATGAAAAGTTTCAGTTATTAATACGAAAACACCACCAAAAAAATATGGTCTATCTTGACTGAATTTATATGGCGCGCATTCGAAATCGTTAATTTAGGACAATATTAAGACTTATACCTGAAAATCGATGTTTTATTTATTGCCTCAACTACCTATGGTTTAGATCCTGCGTGGTACTATATATTACCAGGCAACACGTGGGATTGAATGTTGAAATACACGAAATGCGAATTAGAACTATTAAAAGACGTAGACCAAATTTTATAATTTTAAAACGAAGGTACACCCTCGTAAATACCGATTAAAATCTCAGGCATATTAATCCTGGGAATGTTTCGCCCCAAAATGGCTTAAACAGGTATTTCAATACAAAATCAAATTTACTCCTGGCACAGGAAAGGCAGTTGTCAGCATGGTAGTCGACAGGATAGCTATCCGTGACAGTCCAAGGAAAGAAGAAACACAGGCATGAGGGTAGATCTAGAAAGTCAGGAAGGCCTAGCGGTCTAAAGCGCTGCATTCAGGTCGCAGTCCACTCAGACACAGGCATAGAGATATTGAGCAAATGATGAAATCATTACGGATCTGAGTGGAGATATAGACAAAGACGAGGAGATGGAGTGTTACGAAATTGCGTCGAGAGCCCGGCTTTCGACGAATTTAGTTGTTTACGTCTGGGATCACGTCTTCTCTGAGAATTCTATTATATTCGATAAATATATTTTTCTATATAGATCCGGAGTACAATGACGACTATAAATAGCGCGTAGTAATAAGGTAGTCTAGTTCAAATACAATATTTGTTATGTAAGTTTCGATACCAAAGTAAATTTTTACGGAGTCAATTTTGTTCAATAAAGTTTTTATTGTTCGAAAATAGTATATTGTGTATTTAGGTGGAAAAGTGACACATTCTCGGCCGACGGTGTAAGTTGACGGGCGAGGCGTAGCCGAGGCCGTCAAACACCGAAGGCCGAGAATGTGTTTTTCCACCGAAATACACATACTATTTTTTCTGCGATCGTTTAAATATCTGTTAAATGTTTGTCTTTTTGTTCCAATTGTTCAGCAGTACGAGAATCATTTTCCCGGCCTAGGCCGGAAAATTGTTTCCCGTATTGTTATTCATTGATTGCTTAGCAACTATTGAAACATAATTGAAATACCAGAATATTGAGTTTTGCGACCTGTCAACCAGTCAAAAATGTTGACATTTCTTGTCAATCGCAGAAAAATTATTTTTTTCTGCGATTAACAAGAAATGTCAACATTTTCGACTGGTTGACAGGCCACAAAACTCAATATTCTGGTATTATAATTATGTTTGAATAATTGCTATGGAATCATTAAATAACAATACGAGAACGTGATTCCTGTACTGCATTTTAGGAACAACACAACATAGATTTTTGAAGTACTTTTGTAGGTATACTAAACATTAATTTAACAGTCAACTAATATAATATGTATGAAAAACCAAATACCATTTCTCATTGTCTTGAATAAATGTCTCATTTTCTTCATTACTGAGCGAACGAAGAAAAAGTAGTATGTGTATTTCGGAGGAAAAGCACATTCTCGGCTTTCGGTGTTTGCCGGCCAGAATGTGTCACTTTTCCACCTAAACATACATTATACCATTTAGTAGACCGTGAATTCCTGGAATCTCTGACAATAAAAAAACTAATTTCATTTCTAAATATATTTACCTTACTAATAATAATTATCATGTTTCTCAAGGATCTAACCGCGGAATCAACGCATACTATTGGCCCCTAGAAGAAAATATGTTATTCTTGTATATTTTTGGTTTCTGAATTAGTACCAGTTGTACTGTTAGTACCTACTCCTTCTGTTTACCTTGTTCCATTTTCCACATTGTTATGGTACTGTTGGTGTGAAAGTCATGCATCGTTTTTTTTTAGGGGTTAACACGCACCTACGTATTTTGCCAATTTCGGGCCTAAAAGTTGAAATTCCTCTGCAAGAATGAACCGTAGCTTTGGGGTTAATCAAAACTACAGGAATAATTATTATGAAATTAATGTATTTTCAAAATAGGAAACGTAACATTGTTCGAAGTTAAAATAAGGTTGAATACGATTACATCATCAAATTGAAAGGAGTATTAGGACCAAGAACCAAACCTCAATATCTCGTTTGACTTTTAATGTACTCCACTTCTGGATACTGCAATTCCCTTTCATATATCTTTCAAGGTTTGACCCTCAAAGTAAAATGACAGTCAAGATTATTGTATGTTTTCATTGATATGCAAGATTCAAGCTTGAATTCTTTAATTGATTTGTGCTTGGAAGTTATTTCAAAATGTCTCACAATATTGGCCACGGTAATTTTCAATAGTGTCAATGCCATTCCTTGTCCTAAAAATAAGAAAACTAATTATTATAAAAAAAATTGATATTGGCAGTGCCAATCTCTATATTTAGGAAATAATTATTATAAAGTCATTCATAGGTATATTGTAACAAAGTATAATATACCGGATGACCACGCGATTACTGGTCAAGCTCTATCTTAGGCAAAGAAATCGACATGTGATATGCCAAAAAATTTCAAAAATCAAAACGCTGTATAGCAAATACTCTTAGCTTCTCTACCTATACAGTAATACACTATTATTTTCTAAAAATATTCATAGAGATTTTTTAGAAATACTATCGTCAGTTGTTCTGTTGTTTAGGTTCAGTTTTAGTTATGATACTACTTGTCACCTCTCATTGGCTAGAGCCCTGATCAACGGATTAAGTCTCTAATAATAAATTATGCCTGTACGTTTATTTCATCCGTTGTACCCGGGTACTAAGTGGATTGGATTATTAATAGGGATTAATAATCCTGAAATTATCACCCAGAATTAGAGAAATAATCCGGATCGGAGTACTTTATCCAATCCTCCAAATTTGTACGATTGGACTTAAATTGGAGTAGGTATCTCAAATGTAAACACCTAATCTCGGATTTGAGAAATTTTTTGCTAACCTACAAGAGAAAATCACATTTGTCATTTGTAATTTTTTTGAGTACCTATTGATGTTATTTAGCTTTATTCGAATATTTTTTGATGAAAAACCGGAGTGAGATAAGAAAATGTTTACCTTTTAATTGTTGAAGTTAGACAGAAACGACACAAAACAATTTGCGCTTGCGCTTTTAACAAGGCTTAAGAAAGGATTAACCCTAATCTTAATCCATTTTATAGTTGTGAAATAAACGAATATGGATTAACAATCCTTAATTCACTTTGTATCCGGATACAACGCGTGAAATGAACGTAGTCAATTTGTATATTTTTCGATCAAAAAAAGGTTCCAAGAGAAATTAAATTCTAAGTAAACGTACCAATGCAATTTCTTGGTCCTGCTGAAAAGGGTAGATATGATCCAGGAATAATTTTTGATATATTTTCTGGCAAAAATCTGTTTGGGTCAAACCTAAGAGGATTTTTCCAATAGTCAGGATTCCTGTGTATGTGATATGCACTGATAAAAATGCTGGCGCCTTTTGGAACTACTTTTGTCCCTGAAATTTATAAGAGTATTAGGTAGATCACCTTTATTGACGGCTCGGCGAAGGAACGATTCAAAGCTTATGGAGAAATAAATCTATAAATACAAACCAATATCGATATCTTCTTCACAGTATCTTCCATATAATGGAATTGTAGGTAAAAGTCTGAGAGTTTCACTAATGACAGCTTCAGTATAATGTAAATCTTTTATATTCGTTTCTTCTATACTGTGATCTCCAACTACTGACATAACTTCCTCATATACTTTATGCTGGAAAATTAATGACTACCTACTCAAATTTGATTTTAATGTTTCGATTTCCACCTACCTGTATATCTGGATACATTCCAAGAAGTGTAAAGCAAAAAGCGAATGTATGTCCAGTTGTATCAGTAGCCTAAAAAAAGAATCAATTAACTCATACCTAAATAGCAACCGCTTGGAACTAATTGGAAAATGAGTTTTAATTAGTGAACTTATTTCTGGCTATTCAGAAAAAGCTGCAACCGAAGACAAAACTAAACATGGGAACTGGGTCGCAAGGAAAACACCTTAATACTTCTTCGTTTTCGGCGATTGCAACACTTCCGTTACTTGGTATTTTCTACATTTTATATTAATATGGTACCCACTTCCACCTTTCTCTCGATGACAAAAGAAATTCCTGTGTGCCATTGAATATTTCTGAAATGTGAAGTGTGAATAGATTATCGCCTAACACAGCCAATGTCAGTGGGGTTATAAAAATAGTTGAAAAACAAGACAACTGGAGAGAAATTTGATTATTAATAAGATACAAAGTGTAAATGGTCAAAAAACCAAACCAAAAGTAACAAGAATGCGCCGCTGATGCAATAACAATTGGCATACATGCATAAAAGAATAACGTGGCATCAATTAAAAAAGAGTTTATTTGAATGCTAAATCACTATAGAGTCTATATTCAAACTAAGAACATTTTTGGGCAGTGCGTAACAACTTGAGAGATGAAGTCGGCTGAATCCTCGAGATACCTTTTTTTAAATAAAAAATTAGTTCGTATGGACTTCGATTCGCCAAGACTATTTGGAAAATGTTGGAAAGGCGGTAGCAAAATCATCAGTCTTGGCATTCAGTCTTCTTCTAAAACACGGTGAGAAATGATAGGTTAAGTATCGCTATACTGTTTTCTCTCAGATGCCGAAGCCAACTAAATATGTCATTAATATGGATGTTTTGGGAATGGCTTGGGCAATTGCTAACTGTCGATTCTTTCTAGGACCTCTTACACACTGCACACTACTTGGGTTGCTGAATGGAAAAACGCAAAAAAACTTTCAACTCCACTTTCTCGTTCACCAATCTCGGAACCAAGTTCTGGGCATTCCTTGGCAAAATAAGCCACTTAACACATAAGTTTCTTTGCCAGATGATCATAATCAGTTACCTATGAAAATTAGATCAAAATATTTAAAAACTATAGGTATAGCTATATAATATAAATATACCATCGTCTAAAGCATATTCACATACAGACAGAGCCAAAGCTACTAGACACAAAGGCTTCAATGGGACCAGTTGACTGATATCCATTTCACTGCAGGATCATCAAGGTGGATCATTCATAATCCCTGCATGTTATTATTAAAATTCGTGCATCTTCATGAGCTCGCCTGAACTCGGCTTCGGCAGCACCACCTCGATTAACCTAAACTTGGTACAAGCTAATTCTTCTTATTACTCCCTATGTGTCTAGTAGGTTAATCCCAGTCTGTATAGTTTCGAGGTCTGGTCACCGAAGGACAGAATCGCAAAATTACTTATTGAAGTGGACTTTTGGAGGAAAGCGGCCGTCATAAAGGGAAGGATAACAAGCCAGAAGAATTAGAAAAATTATGAACCTAATAGAAGATGATAATAAGACATGTAGAAAGAATGACCGATATGAGAATACACAAGTCAATCATCGAATGAAAGCCAGGGAGAAGGAGAAGGTCACAGCAGACCAAGAGAAAACTTGTTCGGCTTAGCTTCAAACCAACGAGAAGAACATCCTCAAATTGAAGATGTCTTTCTCCATGGATGGCTTAATTTGTAGGTAATCTCAAATAGAGAATTGGAACATTTTTAGGTATTCAATTTTATCATTGTTTGATATTTATATAAAAATAAATTCTTACAGCTCCAGCGAATAAAACAAGTTCCTCAAAAACATCAGATTCGGTTTCCTTTTCATAACCATCACTTAATAAAAGATCGAGTAATGTTCCTTCTTTTGGATTATCAACATATTCTGATGTTTCAACCTTTTCCTGTTTTTTATCCTGTAGAATCAATGTTAATAACGTTTTCATTTGAGTACGTAATGATTTCAACTTTGCACCTGGAGGTATGTTTATCCATATATATGCGGGAATAAGGGGATTTGCCAAGAGCTTCACGAACTCATCTTGTGTTCTAGAAAATAATATAAAACTTGTATAAGTTTGTTTGTATAATTTATCAAGTACAAAAAAAAGTACTTATAGATTGCATCAGTGTATTGCAAACTTCCAAGCGAAACTTATGTCTGATCTATACATATAATTAGGGCTAACATTGATATTTATTCATAAATGGAAAATGTCAAACACTAAAGACAATATGAAAATATGTAGCTGAAGCTTGCTACATATACATATTCAGAATCATGCATATTACAGTTCACTAGATAACTATTGAAAAATGAATTAAAAAACCGAGAAATTTATTCAATAAATATAGGTTATGTAGGGAATATCTGGAATTCGGAAAGAGCAGAAATAACCTTTCGCGTAATTCCAATCTTGATTTGAACCAAAATCAACAATCAAAACATGTCAGTTTATTGTTGAGATGGCAGTTTTGGTAGATGCAGAGATGCATGAATTTCTCTCATAAAATACGACTCGTGCAATGGAAATATATTTTTAATTTTTGACAAAAGCACTCATGCGTTTTTAACCGAAAAAGGAACTCGTGCACTACGTGCACTCGTGCTCTTTTTCAACTAAAAATGCATTCGGGCAAATTTTGTTGCGGGATGATTTTTCCTGGGCCAAAATAAAAGGAAATGAGCGTATTCGCCACACTGAATAGCATACCTTCGTCGAGCCACTGTTTTCTTTCCAATGGTTGTGGCCACACGTTTCATCAAACTTTTCATTTTTCCCAGAATCATTGAATTAGAGGTTGAGTAATGGAATTGATTTCCTTTTAGTAGGGTTAAAATAAATAGTCAATTAATTTATTAATAAATAAAATCACAATATTTATATTGGAACAGCTGATTGTCTGATCCGATTAGATTGACTAGATTGACAGCGCTCCAAATAATTCCCCAGGACCTTTCACCTTGGAGTTTTGACAGAACCTTTTTAAAAGACATTGCAGGGACAAGCAGAGGTCATTCAGGTCGAGGACTTTCCACGATTAAGTGTTCGGGAAAATTCCTCAGGCACATTTTGCGGATTTTCTGAGTTGTCCAGTTTTCGCTCATAAATCTAGGGTGGCTAATCCGTTATTTTAACACCAAAGCGCCTTGCGCGGATTTCTTTGTGAGCCGAAAAACAGCAACGTGATCAATTGTTTGTTCCTAAAGGCCAAAGTATTTTGGTAAGTGGTTTTTCTTATTTGTCTTCTCTGTGTGTCTCTATTTCCTATGTAAAAGCATAGTTTTTTTGTTAATTATATGGTTAAATTCTGAATATTGGACATACGCCCAGTCTCATAAAGTCCATTTGTTTCAGGCCTTTAGACGTCACCTTATTTATTCGTCACACTTTAGTCCTTAATTTGAGTAGAGAGTTAACCGTTAAGCTTACGGTATATTTCAAGTCGTACCTCCTATCTTCAGCCTCCTCTAGACAATTGGAAGCTATAGTGACTCCTAGTTACTGAACTTCAGTGCCCAGGGCTAATTGCTTCTTGTTGCGGCCCTGATCCAGTCCCAGGCCACCGGAAAAACTGGAAGATATCAATCCAATCCTTCAGGTTCACCTCAAGTGTTTAGGGACTACTCAGGTTTGATAAGTGTGTTGTATTGTCTTAATATCAAACCTTCCAACCCCTTGTTGGAGTACATCACCACAACGATGCAGTTCTACTACAATATTAAATTACCCTTCAGAATATGGGTTTTTATTTCAATTTTAGTTAATTATCTATATTACCTTTATCATATGAAACTTGCCATTCAGGTTATCTTTAATTAATGATCTATATTTCTCTAATATCCCATAAATACATGCAGCACTGAATACAGGAAACTACTTTTACACTGGGGTTAAATGGCCATTTACGAAGGTACTGCATTTAGTAAGCTAGTTTAATAATTTACATTTCAGGTATTATTGCTGTTATAAGTGTTATACAGTTCTCTTTATTTCATTATTTAGGGCGGGTATTATAAAACTCTGCTTTGACAGTTAACTTGAAGTTAACTTTTTGAAATACATGTAATTCCAGAAGTTAACTTTAAGTTAACTCCCAAAGTAGTTTTATAATACCCGCCCTTAGAGACTCAAGTTGAGTTAATTTATTGTAAATATTATTTTTAGAACATAAGGTTAGGTACTCCTAGTCGATTTATTTTGTTCTTGTTCTGGTTCTAGTGTTAATAATTTTCAGTGTTCCAGGGCGTTCGAAAAACCCACTACGAACTTACTCTAGAGTCAAATCTGTTCTGGTTCTAATTAAAAACCCGTACCTGATTGTAGCAAATCATTTCACTTTTTTCCTTCCTTCTTGTTTACTTTTATATTTCAGGTTGTGCTGCTATAGGTCCGTAGAAGTTTCCTGCTTTCGTTATATCGGTTGACTTCGTGTACTGCAGGGAAAAGTAGGTGGCGCTCTATATTTAATTATTTAATTGATCCACACCCCTCTCCGCATTGGTAGCTAGTCGGCAACCCTTCACACGAAGTCCCGTTTCTAGATTTTAGCCACCGACTAACACTATCTTTCTATTTTCTTTTTGTTTTAGTTACGCATTCACTGTCTCACTCCAGTCACTTCCTCAAATTTTATTATTTACTTTTGTAACAATTTCCCAAAAATTATCGATAATTTCCATTGCACTCGTTATGTATTACCATTGAAAATTCGTAAAAAACTAATACTGAATGCTTTGTAGGGATTTTTTGGAACCTGAGAAGAATAGCCGCCACCGTCAAGTACAATCCAGCATATTTTCTCCAGTCAAGTAAGATCGAGGAGAGTCACTACGGAAGAAAGTCGAAAATTTGTTTGAATATTTCACTCATGTATAAATTTTCCCATAAGAGAAGTGAAAAATCGAAAAATTACAGCGGAAATTCAACGTTGTCTAGGCAACGTGAAATTATCACCTATACAAGTCAATTTAACATTTTGTGGACACAAAAACATTAATGTTTGTATTGTAAATTAGAGACGGGAATCAATAGTAACCATAGAAATACAAGTATTTGGTGTATTTGTCGAAAGCAAAAGCCATTAAAAATCAAAATGAATCGGTTTGGTAAAGTAAAAGATGAGGAAACCGGCGAAAGTAGAGTGAAAGTTGAACCAAAAAAACACAGTGAAATCTAAAAACAGTATTTGGAGGCAGTTTATGTCATTTTGCGGCGAAAAAAGTACACTTTTGATCAAGATACTCCAATATCCGAATTTGCATCTATCCTGAAAAGGAGAAGAATATAAAGAGCATTACAGTAAAAGTTCTCTGGAATGTTACCGCAAAATTGCTCATGGAAAAGTATTTTAACGACTTTAACAAATTTAAATTTAATTTTATTCCATAATTTTTATAAAATTCGTGAAATATTCTTCCTAAATACCATACGTGCTTAAAAATTAACCAGATAATTTTCATTCAAGCTTGTTGTACAAATTCCCCTCGTTCTTCGAACTCGTGGAATTGAAACAACAAGCTTTCATAAAAATTATCGGTAATTTTTAAGCACTCGTGGTATTACCCCCGAAAATTCGTAAAAAATACATACTGTCAGTAATAAAATATTCTTGAAATTATTACGCATGTTAAGAAAAAAAATTGTGTGTGTTTAAGACCACACGACAGAAGTGAAAACTTCAATTAGGCGAGACTAACTATAACAAATAGAGGTATTTATTTTGTGTTCTATATTTATTGCTCAGATTGATTGCCTTATTCAGTCCATTCTCTATTTATTTGAGCCTTCATAAACCCCGCCCTACTCTCGAATTTGAATGAATGGGGTTTTAATTTGACAAGTACTCGACTCTGCTGGACCTATGAACGTTTAAATGTATTCTTAGTTTTCAAATTGGATATTTCTGGGAAATTTCAAGATCGACTTAAACAAAATAAAATAATTGAGACACATCAGTTCTAAAAGACATGGTTACTGTCTATATCACCAGTGAAAATCGACTCTCTGCTCTAACGACTTACATAAATTAAATCATTCCCAAATATCGGAAAGATGATCTTTGCTCTTTGATAGTAAGCTAGCCCTTATTATGACACACACCGATTTGAAGTTTTCACAAGCTGCATTCAGAAAAAGCTATAATCTCAATTATATATTCGACTTACCTATCTATTAACTCCCCAAATATTTCAATATTTGGGTCAATATATTCTCCTCTCCATCCAACAGATGTTACTGCAAAATATTGGAAACCGTCATTTGAATCACATTTTTATAGGAACTATTAAAATTCTTACGAAAGAAATTCATGAATGCGTATTTGTTAAAAAACTTAAAATAATCTTCTTCTGGGCCTACGGATTTGAGTCTTTCCACCAAATTGAAACTTTGTTGATAAAATGTTGGGAAAAACGATTTCAACATGTTACTCTTGAAAGCGTTTCGTAAAAAACGACGACGTGGTTTCCATTTATCAGCTAAAATGAAATATTCAAACCAATTTATATAACCAATTATATCGTGTCATAACATACCTTCTATTAGAAGAAGCGAATTCCTAAAAATGTACTTCACATCTTTATAAAGTTGAGCCTTGTTGTAGCATTTCGGATGATTCAGAACAATTCTAGCTTCCTCTGCGCTATTGCACATGTAATGGTATTTGTGTCCAAACCAAAAGTTTACAGGTAATCCAATGAATCTTTCAGCCCATAGCAAAGTTGTTAACATATTAACTGAAAACGCAAATAGATACATAGTCATAAAACTACACTTAGGAATATATTATACAACAAATACTTTGTTAGTTTTGATGGCGGTTCATAATTTAGTAGGGTGCGCTTGGTTTGTTTTTCTCAAATTCGCCCCTACCTCGCGTCATTCATAACTTCGGCATGTAATTCGAATCGTGTGTTTTGACTGCAATAGGTAGACAGTCTGAGTTTTCACTATTCACAGAAACTATCGTAGAGATCAAAACCAAACGTTTTCAACGTTAACCAAAGATCCACAAATAATAATTTTGATCGACAAAATTGCGATGATACAGATATCAATTACATCGAAGATTTAATGGAAAAGAAGAAAAATTATATTACATATGAGGATTTTCGAAACCTAGTTGAGCACATCACTAAAGTAGGTACCTACCTACAAAGTATCTCATTCACCTAAAATAAAATGGGTACGCTTCAAGCTTCAAGGATGTCAGCCAGTCATTAGATAGATTAGCGGAACCTAAAATTTCGCAGCGACTGACGTGTCTTTTACTTCTGGTGTAACATTGGGTTGAATTAAAAAAAAAAACAAATTACCAATAATTCGATCTACTGGTTTGCAATAAGTAGCTACTATAATTGTTTATCATTGTTCTCCCTCCTGCAAGCATACTATCTCCTAAATGACCACTTCTTTTTGGTTTAGTCCTGGAAAGTCTTCTGAGTGGTTTACGGATTGCTTATAGGCACTGCCAACATTGATTTCATGCTTGATAATGTTCGTCTTACCAGTTTCGCCTTACAGGCTCATAGGTGACTGACATCACCCTTATTGATTTAAATAATGTTGAGCGAGGTATTTATTGTAAGTCCAACGCAGTGCCCAAAATCATTCTTCAATTGTCCACATAGAATTTGTTCGGTGCTGGAGCTTATTTTCATACTTTGTGTACCTAGCTTTTATGGTGACAGACTTTGGACGCTTAAGTTTGGTCACTATACAAACTAGGCACCGAAGCCTAATTCCTGAATATGGAGACAGGTTGGCGAATGCAAAAGCATGTTGACTGAATAAGTCTATACCCGACCTCTGTTTCTCAATTTTCATTTGCGGTTTCTTCAGTCACTGTGCGCAGAACAACTTTCCTTGCGCCTGTGTCCAGTGTTCCAGATTTTGAGGGCACTAGCCAGCACCCGCCCCTCTGTGTTGATTAATTGTAGTTTTCTTGGTTCTCCTTTAAAGTCTGAGAGTCAGCAGAAGGAGAGCGAAATCTTAGCTGTACTCTAGAGTCTACTACTACGTTTTTAAGTTCGTGTTATCCCGCAGCGGTAACATGCAACTTTCCAGTTCTCTTGATGGCTTCTGGTATTCGTAATTCTTCCAGAAGTTCCTTCTTATGGTCTTCAATTCCTCCTATCAGCTCCTTTTCTTCACGAATATTTGCTTTGGTTTTGATATCTTATTGGCCGCTTCAATTACTAGGCATTTGACAAGAGCTTCGCTGCTGCTTGATAGTTTATTGATAAACAGCAATATTTGTACGTCCGCATCTCTAGGTCCAATCAGGCACTATAGTCCGTTATGAGCTGTTTAAAATTGGTTTCCTATGTGCCTTTTTGGTATGCAAGAAAGCGGTTTTTTTAAAACTAAAATTTGTATTGTAAGGAATAACCAAGTCCAGTCGGAACGCCGGGTTATGTGTCAGAGGTGTACAGTACGAGAAAATAAGATCAACTGATTTTTTGAGCGGTTTTAAAGCCATTTTATTGCGCCGTTACAATCTGCTTTACTAGTCTAAGAGCCCGTGACACAAAAGCCTCAGTCATCTGTTAGAAGGCCGTTTTTTGGTGGCCCGGTATGCCAAGTCCTCGATCAACTGAAAAATGTAATGGTTGGCAGGTTTCGGTGTGCAGAAACTGAGGGGTGGATGTATTTTCACTATCCCAAAATAAGGCTTTCTACCTTATGAGTCAGAAGCTTTTTTTTTGTTGTGAATGAATAATATGGACCTACTGAGGCCTGAACAGGAACGGTTGGCGGGCCTTCCCCCTCTCTTCACCATGCCCACCGCGTTTTAAGTGAGATTTCCAAGGGAAGTTCCTACCTCACAAGTCAAAAGGACGAAAAAAGGTGGAAACTATACATTTCCACTTCCTCGTCCGTTCTGCGCTGGGTTGGCAGCTGGTTGGCGCTCTATTGTTTATTTAAACATATGTTTTTACGAAATTGAAGTTGTTTTTCCCCTCGCTATAATTTGAAGACATAGTGGAGGTTTTTTCAAATCAAATCAAATCAAACACACTTTTCAATTTAACTGCTAAATATTGTGGGAAATTGGATGGAAAAAAAAAAAAAACATCAGAATTGCCTCAAATCGGACATAAACATACTTTCAGGGGCGGATACAGGAAGGGGACGCGCGCCTCCCTGAGAGTCTGAAAATCTACTCGAAAGAGTTTTGAGTGAAACATTTGAAAAAAAAACAAAAAATTTTCCAAGAATTTTCCAAAAAATTTTATATAAAAAATTTCCAAAAAGAATGTTATAGAAAATTTTTCGAAGTTGACACCATTGTTCAATTATTCTTCGTATTGTTCTTCAGATAAATTTGTGTTGCGTATTTTTTGAATAGGTATTTTCATTATTTTCCGTTTTTTGATATTATGTACTTACTGAGTACAGGGTGGTCCAATTTGATATACCATCACCGTTTTTTCGCTAGAGGGCGTTTCTCGATTTTGAGCAAAACTGTGAAAGCTTTATAACTTTTTTAAGTAGGTACGTCATTGGATTCTGCTTGAAGAAGTACCTCGAGAAATGTTATACCTACATAAATCAATTAGTTTTATAAATAAAAAAATAAATATATTTGTGCAGTTCACACCCAGTAGAAGTCAAACCTTCAATAAACTAAGCTGAGAGAGAATTGAATACACAAACTAGGTACAACGCTTGGTAGACAAGAGTGGGGAGGCTACGAAGCACCGCACAAAAAGGAGATGAAGAATAAGGAACGCTGTACAAAAGTATTCCATCTTATTCTCTAGCTGGCTAAATCCCATAGATCTATATGTTTGTCTCTTTTCAGTGTCGTTTTTTCGTTTTATCGAGTCGAGTCTCAAATCACTTCCAACGATTGTGAAGAAGTTTTCACTTCAAAAGTGATAAGGTTTCACAGTATTGCTCAAAATCCAGAAACATCCTCTATAATGAAATTTGATCCTCAGTGGGGTGGGATCATTTTTTTGTATCTGGTCTCAGAAAGTTACGTTTCTTATCAAAAGTGTCCAAATGGGAACACCCGCATTTATCAGTTGATAAATGTGTGTATTATTTTTTTTATCTATGTAAAATTTATAAAAACCCCCACTAATTCTTCAGATTATAGCGAGGGAAAATACAACTTCAATTTCGCAAAAACATATGTTTAAATAAACAATAGAGCGCCAACCGGCAATGGAGCGCCAACCGGCTGCCAACCCAGCGCAGAACGGACGAGGAAGTGGAAATGTATAATTTCCACTTTTTTTCGTCCTTTTGACTTGTGAGGTAGGAACTTCCCTTGGAAATCTCACTTAAAACGCGGTGGGCATGGTGAAGAGAGGGGGAAGGCCTGCCAACCATTCCTGTTCAGGCCTCAGTAGGTCCATATTATTTATTCACAACAAAAAAAAAGCTTCTAACTCATAAGGTAGAAAGCCATATTTTGGGGTAATGAAAATTCATCCACTCCTCAGCTTTTGCACATCGAAACCCGCCAACCATTACGTTGTTTAGTTGACCGAGGACTTGGCATACCGGGCCACCAAAAAACGGCCTTCTAACAGATGACTGAGGCTTTTGTGTCACGGGCTCTCGTAGTATTACATGTTTGACATAATACATACAAAATCATGATCACTGGCATAGACTAATTGCTGGTAACATTTCACATAATTTTGGAAATTATATGCGTACGCCTATGAGCGGCAGGACAAGCGTAGACAAGCACAGCGAGCGACGATGGAACTATGCGAAACTGCGATGTTTGTTGCAAAATATTGTTGAACAATTGCTAACAAAATATATCCTTATTTAAAACAGGCACTTCATCGCAATTAGTTTCTGATCTAGAAGAAGCAGCAACAAAGCTTACCTTTATCACATGCAATCCATTCATCAATGCAAAATATGTGAACACTATACATATTTTCTCCCAATACTGGCGTTTTTGTTTTGGCAAAAAACAAATCCTCAGTTCCGTTTACGAAAAGAAGAAAGCTGGATCTGCGAGTCCCCACTTTAAACGGTACACAATTATCTCTCTCGAATGAAATTGAGTATCTAGGGGTTACCTTGGACCGCAAACTTAGATGGAACAACCATCTGAACAAAACAATATCATGAGCTACTGCGGTCACTTGGACATGCCGTAAGCCCGTGGGAAAAAGATGGGGGAGAGGATCAAAAATGGTATATTGAATTTACCAAACGGTTGTCAGACCCATTCTCACATACGCCTCGTTGGTATGGTGGCCAAAGACTGCAAATTACTGCACAGGACAGTCTACGTAAACTACAAAGGCTAATCTGTATAGGAATAACAGGGGTTATGTCAACCTGCCCCACCGCAGCCTTAGAGGCACTGCTGAACATGCCTCCCCTTCACCTGAATGTGAAAAAAGAAGCAAGAATAGATACCTATAGTCTACTCCAGACAAAAAGATTTAAACCTGGTAATCTAAGACGCCACTTACGCATCCCTCGGTATATAAAGCTCGAGTGCCAAAGTAAACCAACAGATCATATGATAACATCACTGGACTTGGACGTTCCATGTGAAGTGGTTGTAAAAGAAGGCGAATCATGGAAGAACGCAAAGCTACCACAAGCGGACAAGGCATCACTGTGGTACACGGATGGTTCGAAGCTAATGGAAGGAGTCGTTCTGGGAATACCTGAATCAAACTTAAAACTCTACTTGGCAATAAGTTGAACACCACAATATTTCAAGCATAGGTACCGGCCATAAACATCTGTGCTTAAGAGAGCCTTAAGAGAAGCCTTTTAAGAGAGCACATTTACATACTCTCCAACTGTCAAGCGGCTCTAAAGCCTCTAGGAGTCATCAAGTGCATTCACAGCTAGTTTAAGAGGGTAAAATATCTTAAAGCAACTTGTTGCTAGTTGGCTGGGAGGAACAAAGTAGCCCTGATGTGGGTGCCCGGACACCAGGGCCCAGAGGGCAACGAGGAGGCAGACCGTCTCGCAAAGCAAAGTAAAGGCGCTGTACACTGTAACACCTTTTCAAGGCCCAAAGCATTTTTGTGGACTAATGAAAAGCCTCGTCTCCGAAGAAATGAACTGATGGGAGAATGACCGAATGTTAGCTCATTGCCGGTCGATTTCGGGTCTGAGACAGGCAAAGAGGTTCATATCCATCTCAGCAGGGAGATCTGAACAACTTCTTGACAGGAACTGAATAAACATACAGTGGTTGGTCTGCTCACTGGACACTGCCTGGTGAAATATCACCTAATAGGCAAATCAGACAAAGACCCCTGTAGATCTTGCGAACCAGCAACAAAAACTACAGACAATTTAATCTGTGAATGCTCACTTCTGCAAAAGAATAAAATATCTTGAAGGAGTACGGCTAACATTCCAAGAGATGGGCACTTTAACACCAGGAAGCTTGTCTTGTTTGGGACAAATCTACAAATCTTGGACACCAACTGGAAGAAGAGTCACACACAGAATATTCGGAAAGGTATCAGTGCTTAATAGTAGCTGGAACAAGATGTTACGACTCCAAATGCTCGGAAAGCCTTTTGGAATGCGGAAGATTCTCTTTTACTTGCTCTCGAATCTCTTAGAAATAAATCATCGTTTACCGATGAAAACTTAACATTAGTTGAAAAATTCATTTGCCAAGTATTTTCTACTTCTATGGAGGAATCTTTTTTCCAAGAAGTAGTTAACACACGACCTCCAACCAGACCTTCTTTGATAAGAGCTTTGAAACGAGCTCATTATCGTTAATCTAGAACAAATGTGAAGATAATTTTCCAGATTTGAAACTATTTAGGTACTGAGTTCGGCTGGTTCATATCAAGGAAATTAATGTGAAAACAATAAATCTATCGAGAAATCTATCAATAACTCAAATCATGGAGCAAGCAGCGATGACGAAGACGAAGAGATTTAGCCTGTATATTTTAAAACATTTCAAATGTGAATAATTGCTTTTCAACAATAAATTATGCGCATGCGCAGTCTATGATCTACCTTGTGGTTGTTTTTTCTCTTTTTTAGTATGTTCTTACATAAATAAAGACAAAATAGGCACAGATTTAGCAACCGTACCACTAAGCAACAATATTTAAAAATAATAATAATTAGGCAATTCAATCCATCTGTCAAAATGGAAAATTCAATATGGCGTGGCGGCCAAGCAAGTTTGTTGAATATGTTTTTATGCGTATTTTTAATTATTTTGCTTGGAGTTTTTCTTGCAACCTTGATTTTGATTATTTAATAAAATATCTGTTGACTATGTACCGAAACTATTAAATCAGGCGAAAAATAGATAATTTTTTGTGTTTTTTGGTCCATGTGTGGCCGCCACGCCATCTAGAATGTCACGTGGTTTGAATTGCCTAATTGAAAATAAGGTAATGCCACTTGCGTCAACTGCGCGACACTGACCCATTTTATAGCGTTCCGACTGAAAACAGTTACACCTTAGTGCAATAGAAACCCTTCAAAAAAAAACCGCTTGCTTGCATACCGAAAAAGCACACGGGAATTCAAACCAGACCGGACTACTAACTGACGCCAAACACATAGCCTCACTTTCGCTCAGGGAATAAACCAAGCGTTTAAGTTCTATTTATAACACACAGGCGCTAGCTATTACGTCACGAATCACATAACGTCATTTCGTTAATGGGACAAAATGCCATTGAGATAAACAAACGATACCAATATGGCTACGTTCACCAGAACCAAAACGGATTGTAAACAGTTTACAAATACCAACAGAATATGTTGGGTAAACTCTTGGTTCTGCTGAACGATTCAACTTTTCAATGATAGAACGTCACCTTCTGAATGACAGGTCACCACGCAAAACACAGTGTTGAAAATTATGAACACTCTGAAATTATGCTTGCAAAAATGGCGACCGTTTGCAAAACATGTTTGGTTTTAACACAAATTCAACGTAACGTTCAGCAGAACAATCGCAAACCGTTTACCAACGTTTGTGTCTGGTGAACGCGGCCATAGGCCGCGTTCATTTCTCAAATAAACCTGTTACCTATTCAGACATTTCCGACAAGTCCAGCGCAGTGACTTTCTTATCATTTGTTTATCCCAAGGTAGGTTAGTCCAAAACATGTTTGTCCCCGTATCAAAGTGACGTTATGTGATTTGTGTTCTCGCATTTCAGCTGCTGCTTCCGGGTAGGCCAAATTACCCAGACAGCGGATAACGTCTTCAATTTCTTGTAAGTTTTCGGCAGCTTTCTGTTGTCTTGTTCCAAGTTGAACCTGGTAACGCTGTCATCGGTTTTAATCCACATAACGACGCTCTAATGCATCCACAAGCACACCATAGTTTTGTTGTTGAGCGGGCGAAAGAGTTTCCAGAAACTCAAAGGCAAGGCCACGCAATGCTACAATCAAACCTGTAGCAACGTTATCAGAGGTTCAACCAGTCTTGAACTAACGTCTGTAAATTGCCCACGACTGACCGTCGTATTGTGGTGGTTTAACTTCAGGTATAGTAGAGGCTGAGACATTTGCTGATCCCAATTCACATTCCAACTTGCCAATCTTCTTCTAGAGTCTATTAATTTGTAATAACTCGATCCATTTTGTCTGTTTGCTATTGTGTATTTAGCATAGAATTTCTCTATTCTCTCTCAGTTATGTGGCGAAGTCTAGTTTTGAAATAAAACAACCACATTGTAGATTTGTTTTCCGTTTTTGAAATCAGTAATGAAATCACTATTCCTGTAACACTTACAGTTCCCAGATAGAATTCTATAGGAGTTTCTAAACTTTTCCCGAAAATCGTATTTAAAATAAACTCAAACTTACTACGAGATATTTATATTCGAAATTATACTCAGAATCTATCCAGTATCCAGAAAAAACATGTTTAACGAATTTAATAGAATTTCCAGAAAAAAAAACTAGTTTCTCAGAATCCTGGCCGGGTTGTCGATGAATTTTCGTAATACACCCAATGAAGACAGAACATACCGCCAACATACAGTAGTCTGAAAAAACAAAACCACACGCACAAGACGGCAAGCGAATCAATTTTCAAAACAATTACAGGCAACTTTAACGCTTTAAATGAAGGACGTAAACAGTAACAAATGTCTGTATGTTTGAGGTGGATTTATAATATTACCTTGCATTTTTTGGGACTTACACCTCAATTGAAATTAATACCAGAAGTTTCTTGATTTTGATACGAATTACTACAAGCTCTCTGATTAGAGCAATTTTACCTATCAGATTATTTTTATAAAATAAATTACTCGAATCGACTTTTTATAAACGAATCGAGTTTTATTATTTCAATGAAATAATACTTGATTAGGCTCGGTGGTATGAGTTCTGGATTTTTTGCTGACGTTTCGGTACCAAATCTGCTACCGTTGTCGAAGCTTGGGGGATGGAACACCTAAAAAATAAAAAAGTCAGAAAATTGTTCGGTTTTTTCGTAAATTTCGTCGTCTTGCATACGAAAAGGCGTATCTCAAAAAATCGAGTTTTTTTGATAAGCCCTTTTGCTTTAATCAGAGAGCTTGTAGTAATTCGTATCAAAATCAAGAAACTTCTGGTATTAATTTCAATTGAGGTGTAAGTCCCAAAAAATGCAAGGTAATACGGAAACAGTAGTTGATTAAAAATCTACAAATCAAAATAAATTAAAATCAAAGGCCTCGATTATTGTAATTCATAATGGATGGTAATTCAATAGGATTAATAATTACTACAATCTCAAACAACCCTATATTTTCACTGGAGAATACCTAAAACACCTAAAAAATGTCATTACTTATTAAACCCCAAAATATCAAACCCAAGCGTTATGAAAACTGAAAATCCTTATATTTTGAAATGCAAAGGATATAAAAAATCGCGAATGCAAAAAGTTAGTATGCTTTTAGAAGTGACTGTGCCGTCTTTACCGTCTGTGATAGCAGTCTGCTGCAACCCTTCAAACTGGGAGTATTTTAGCTTATACTAAGTGTTGGTCTACTTTTGTTCGATAGTGTATGTAGATACCTTAACTCGATTTGACGGCACCTAAAGACATTTGATTATTAAGTAATGACATAAGTGACCAATAAAGAGACTAGCGCTTTCCGAAATAATGGTTAATACATACGTCGTCTTCCTGTGAAGAGTGCCACATAGGTATTTCCAACAAACGGGAGCAGTAGCATCCATCTTCCATTTTCCTTCCATGAAAACCTAACGATTCTATTGTAAGTTAAAATAAGCCACACATTATACACTACAACACATAACACCAGAGAATATAAGATTTTAAGCCAAAATATTAACATTTTCACTACAAGTAACGATTCAACACACTGGTAACGTTTTAAAAAAATGGCTATTTAAATACTAATTCTAAATAATTAAAAATTTTAATGGATTAATTTTTTTTTCGAAACTGTTATCTACTTAATTAAAATTACTTAGGTACTTACTTTGGACTTGTAAGAAAAGAAATTATGTAATTAGGTAATTAGCTGATTCCCAAAAAAATATCCATAATAATGATATAAAACGTTAGACGTGATAATCAGTAGGGTAATTGACAATAAAAGCATTCCTAATTTACCAGTACAAAAATTCAAATATGAATGAGGTTCCAAAAGGCGATTCGATTCTGCTTTATTTTTAGTGCACATGATATTTGGTTAAATATATGGTATGTAATTTGATAATAAATAAATAGTTATACATTTTTTATTGTGTTTAGCAATTCATTACCATAGATAGGTAGCAGGTGTACAAAGACAAATAGGTATAATCGTTTACCCTTGACTTATTTATGATACCCACTATCAAACCGTGTGTTTATAATAAATATTCAAAAAACACCTTTATTTCTAAGTTACCTACATGAGGCTTTAATTCGCGAAATGCGTAACAATACCAATTATATAGGTAGGTACCTGTCAAGGTTCCTAAAGATAATAGGTCGTCTGGTAATGGAAAACAGATGACGTTATCTGGGGTGCCTTATGGAGATTTGCATTATGTTGAGGGGCCTTAGATGACGTCATAAAAGTGATCAGGCAACCTACCTCTTTCAAACAACCTTGGGTACCTATAATAATAGGTATAATAAGTATTATCACGTTCAACGGGCTGAAGAGAGACGTCAATCAAGCGGCGTAGTATATATTGTGACGCTTCCAAAGTTGGTACCTATTAAATTGAATTAAATCTTATCTGCCACATAGCAAAATTATATTCTTATCAGGTGCATAGATTATTCATTTTCAAATATGGACATTGTTCAGTTGTTCAGTTTATATATTGCATGTACTGTGGATATTCGTATATGTGTTATGCATATGCGTTTGACCAAAAATCTGATATTCTTGATATATACACCACGAATATAACACGTATTTTCGGCATGTATGTAGTTATTTTGCGGAATATTCTTAAAATATTACATAAAAGTTCAGAGGCGCCGACTTTTGAAAGTCCTCATGGGTGCAGAATAACTTTATAAATTCGTTTATAGGGGAAGAGGGAAGCTCGCCGTAGGTGAAATTTTTTTTCTACGAGCGTGCGAAAAGTGCTTTTTTCTGCGCGCATTTAGGTAGGTACTAGTGCGGAAAAGTATAATAATTATGCAATATTTAGTCACCCTGGTATTTTAATGTCTTGAAATGCGTGCGGAAAAGTACTTCTCCGCACGGTCGTAAAAAAATAACGTTCCTTAATCATGCGGTAAATCTTTTTTCCTCATTCAATTGCTACGCACACGCCCTAACTGACGTTTTGTTTCGTTTTAGCCGCCTCTGTCAACTGTCAGACTATCACTGTCAACCAATAAACTATTATTAAGTCGGTTTCTGCAGAAATCAGAAACCAGTAAGAGTGAATTTCATTGGTTGAAACTAGTTTTCTGACTGTTTTCAACCAATAAAATCCGCTCTGACTGGTTTGCGATTTCTGCAGAAACAGACCTATTATAAAACTTCCGATACATGGAAAAGATTGTATCGATATTTTTTTCGATATATCGATATATTTGAATAATATTTTGATTTCTACAAAACATCGATATATCGTTGCCATCTCTACCCACACGCAAAACTAAGCTATATAGGTATGGCATACGGCGCAAGCGCAAGAATTCCCGTTGTGGAGCGGACTGTCCCGATTACTTTAAAAAAATAGAGATGGTCTGATGGAGAATAGCAATATAAAGTAATAGAGCATAGAACTGACCACAAATAACGGAAGGACAGATGGACAGAATACCACACACACACCACTTGTATAATTCTTATACAAAGTTATATAAATTTAAATTACATGATACTGGATATTACCACATGGAACGGAATGAGCATTAAACACGTTTGTACTTCCGCATTTCCCACGAGAGCTCCCATGGGTGCTCCGCACCCATGAGAGGTTGCTCATGGGTGCACCTGCCCCGATGCCCCCATGTAGTCGGCGCCAGTGTAAAACTTCATTATTGAGCTATAAATATAGATAGGATGTGCATAGTAATAGTATATGATATACTTTTTTGTTCCAACCTTCAAGTATATGCTAGGTATATTCTTTCCCGGAGGAGTTTTAATAGTACATTCATAGCACATTATATAGAAGTTCCTGAATATTCTATGAACTGTGCTCAAAATATTCAAAGCATGTTTAGTCAATAACGGGCTCGCCTAGCCAAACCAAATGTTTAGGTTTTGTTCAGACTATTTATTAGATGGTTTATGTGAAGTTTGCACAAAATCGGTCGAGCGGTTCTTCATTTATCACATTTTTTGTAATAAATGAATTATTCAATAAATGGAGGATCATTTTGTTAATGGGGATTTTGCTGTCAAATTGAAACTTTTTTTCAGCGTTGACAGTACCAGCATGTTGTTATGTCATTAATGTGGTCATTTTATTATTTATTTTATTTATTTATGAAAAAAATTTACTAAGCCCGCATACGGCGCCATCTCTTATAACCGATACCAAGTTTATTTTGTATACCGCGCCATCTCTGATACCTGGAATGAAGCTCGGCATTGCAGATTCAGTAGAACAATGCTGCTCAGGAACTGGAGCTATTTCGAACAGAACTATTCCACTATTCCGATCAGATAGAGTGGTGCAGAAAGAGTAGGTCAGATAGAGTAGTGCAGATAGAGTAGAACAGATGGAGTAGTGCAGTGCATGCAGTGCAGATAGAGTGAAACAGGGCTGCGCTAGAGATTTTTTTTGTTTTCTTTACATTCTTTGAACATTTCTGTGCCTGAGTTTATTTATTTGGTGGTACACTTTACAAGAATAATGCCCACAAGCTGCCTAAAAAAGGATGATGTAAAATTTTAATTTTAGGTGACTTCTGATCCAGAGAGTAAACATTAATTTTCTTCAACCAAAGCCAAATTCACCATCGAAAAAAACTGAATTTAATTCAGCTAATAGATACGTTAACACAACATTTAATAGGTATATTTAATAATTCAGAGGCGGTACGAAGTTCGCCGGGCCAGCTAGTATATTATAATATAAGTAACGTTCTACTGTAAATTTTAATCAAAATTTGTTAAAATGGCTGCATCTCCGCTTGCCCCCACCATTAGACATTCCAAAAATACCGTAAAATGACCTAAACATTTCGCGCTTGCAGCATTTTGCAAGGATCACTTCCTGAAGCCTTTGACAAAGTGCCACATAAGCTGTTAAACGAAAAGTTATAGCACTTTGGACTGCGTGGACAATTGCTGAAATTGATTGGAGAGTTCTTGGATGAACGATACTACCAAGTACGAGTAAATGGAGAAATGTCAAGCAGGCACTTAGTTCAAAGTGGAGTTGTCCAAAGATCGGTGTTGAGGCCACTGCTCTTTACTGCCTACCTATCAAGTATCATTCCTAACAGCTGATTCTAATCTGATCTGTAGCTAAATAGAGGAATCGAGAACCTTCTTTTAGGTTGAAGCCTTTGATAAAGTGACACATAAGCTGTTATGCTAAAAACTGGAGTGCGTGGACAATTGCTGACATTGATTGGAGAGTTCTCGGATGAACCATACTACCAAGTACGAGTAAATGGAGAAATGTCAAGCTGGCACTTAGTTCCAATGACATCCTAACACATTTAGATACCTACCGCATCTCATTCATAAACTGATGTTTGTAGTGATGACCATACTTCTTATGGGCCAGGAGAGGTGAGCTGCTCGAGGGGGTCATGGTAGGGATGCATCATGAGTGTTAACAATACCCGTATTCTCCTCTGAACCCGTCATTCACTTGACCAAAATAATCAAGAAATGCGCACTGGTGCAACTCGTTCATATATCTTTCCGCCTCTACTTCATTTGATGTCAATGAACTAATCAAACACACTGGAACAGTGGCTGCAGAATGGTTTCTACGCAAGGGTTTGTGTCAGGAAGGACAACAAACAAGGGGGATTTGTCAATTGTCGCTGCTGCAGCAACTCCACAGAAAGGTGGAAAAAATATAATCATGGCTCAAGAACAATATAGGTTGGTGAAGTGCAAGAAGTTGATAATGGATGTTAGTTTCTTCTCAGCTTAATCTTTCCGTGTGAGGACTCAAGTTGGAAGTTGGTCTTAGAACTTTCGAAAGAGGAAATTTCCAGGAGAATTGAATCAGTTTATGGTGAATCTCAATTGGCTTTATAGGCGAATATTATTGTAAAGAATGCCTCCTCGGCCTGCTCAAGTTAGGATAGTCAAGATGGACCTAAATTAATCGCTATGACAAAGGACTTGCAAAATATGTATTTAACGAAAGGTAATGTGCTCAAATTGTGTATGGTGAATAATTCAAAAAAAAAATTGAAACAAGTTGATTTTCTAAAACATTATGATAATTTTTTGGTTCATGCTAATCAGTTATTGTTACAGCGTGACAGTGTTGATGATATAAGGTCTGTTCCCACAGAAGTCTCTGATAGTTTGCAAACTGTCAGTAACCATCGCCCATACATGTTTTCGATGCTGTCGTTACAAGATAAATCTATAACTCAGCTGAGCGATTGTTTCTGACAGGTTTCAAACTGTCAGTGACTCCTGTGGGAACAGACCTATAATGTCGAATGCATGTAATTATAATGGTACTGGTAAAGCATGTCATTGTCTAAGTAGATATGAGGTAAACGTCCCAATTATCGACGCACGTGCGTACGTAATACCGACACTTAACCTAATTGGTAAAATGGTAGTAATAAGTGATAGTGACAAGCACAAAATAATAAGCTGATTACCACAAGTCCATTACACTCATATTTATTGGAAAAAACAAAATTATAAATGAAACATTATTTCTGAACTAGAAAGTTACCAAAGGGGCAAAATGGGTGTCGATAATGGGCCACTTTCACATTTTTCAAAACAATATTTAAATTATTCTTTCAGTCATTCTAATACTAGAGCGAAAATCTTTCTTGTATAGCACCGTGACGCCAAATGCGCACAAACCCACTTTTACTTAAAGGCGGTTACACACGGACGTGGATGTCTGAAAACATGTACACACATACATGAACGCGCAAACAAAAACATCAATGTGTATGCAGAATACCGTCGCGTTTTTGAATGTGTAAACTGTAGAATGACGCTCAAATGAATTCTGGAATCGCTAGAAATTTTATATGCACACTCGGAATACTGTAGCAAGAGAAGCAAGACTGACAGTTTTGTGCGAGCGTCTGTACAAAGGTGACATGCACGTTGTTGTTTGCACGCTGATGTATGCACGTATATGTATCAAATCATCCACGTCCGTGTGTAACCGCCTTAATGGATTATCGATTTTCTTGGACAACGAACAACAGAGACCCAGTCGTTCATAGGCGGTACGGCTACGGAATCGGTGGGAAAAGATTAATAGTAATTTAATTCTATTTTCAAAAACCTAATATGTTAGGAATATAATGTCTTGATTTTTATTACGGTAGGCTTATAATAATTATATCTCTTGGAATTTACACTTAACAATAAATACAACTAAATGGTGTTTGGCGGTCAAAAAATAAACCCAATTCTTCGATCTACATCTGATGATGGATAGAGATAGATACTATTAGGTACGTAGGTACCTAGCTGGTAGGTACTTGTTAAGAATAATAATTTGATTTCGAGTTTGCGGTCATAACTTAAACCAAATTCTTGGAATTGCATCTGATTATAGAGACAATTCATTCTAGGTAGGTAGTAAAGAAAGGGTAGGGCTGCACAAAGCAACTAAATATTGCACCCTTTGTTTAGGTGTCTGCAAGATTTGTATAAAAAATTGACATTTGTTTATTAAAAATTCAGTTTAAGCTACTTACTCATTCGTTTGAGAAGGAATAGTACTAATTTTTCACTTTTTTTTTCTTTCGTTATTCGAGAAGTGATTGTTATTTTGTGTTTTTGGTTTTACAAACTTTATTTGAAGAAACCTGCTTAATTTCTTGAATTGGGGTAAGTAAAAAACTAGGAAAATTATGTAACCATAATTGTTTTTAATAAAAGTAGAGATATATACAGTGTGGTCATTTAAGTGAAAGTGGATATTTTTTAGTAATTGCACAACCAATTAACCAAAACAAATGAGGGTTCTTGACAGTAGGTACAGGGTATTTGATTATATTTGGCACCATACCTACAGCCTTCACTATTTAAGGTAGAAAAAAGTTGTAAATACAAAACTTGACAGTTTTTTTTTATGTTTTCTTTTAACGTTATCAGAAAAAACAAAATCGCATCGGAAAATGAAGAAACGTAAACAACTTCGACTTTTTTAAATGGAACACCCTGTATATTTTGCGATGAAATGAAAGACTTTTTCTTCCTGATTACAAATATATATATGTTGATCACATTTGCGTGAGCCATTTTTGACCTATCTCAGCTTAAATTATAACTAAATTGCAAAGAAATTTTATAAAGATAGAGATGCTTATGGAACTTCTCTGCAAATTCTTTATAAAATCTGTTTTTTTTTTTAAGATAAAAGTCAAAATGACATTATGTTGGCAACACAATGTAAAATTGTCACTGCTTTCAAATTTTTATGCAGAAAAGGCTTGTGTTACCAACATAGTTACTAAATTTTTGACTTGGGGAATTATCTTTAAAAAAAAACAGACTTTAATTTAACCTGAGATATGTCAAAAAATGCTCACGCAAATGTTATCAATTTATAAATATTTGGAATCAGAAAGAATAGATCTTTCATTTTTTCGCATAATATACAGGGTGTTCCATTAAAAAAAAGTCGAAGTTGCTTACGTTTCTCCATTTTCCGATGCGATTTTGTTTTTTCTGATAACGTTATCAGAAAATATAGAAAAAAACTGTCAAGTTTTGTTTTTAAAATTTTTTCTATCTTAAATAGTAAACGCTGTAGGTAGGGTGCCAAATATAATCAAATACCCTGTACAATTTCTCTATTTTTTGAGCTACCCTGTATGCTGTCTTCCAACTATATTATCCGTTCACAATCCGATGTCCACAGGTAGGTACAGGTAAAATCACCTTTCAATGCTATTTGATAGGGAAAGGTGATAAATTTACCTGCACCTGTGGACATCGGATTGTGAACAGGATATACAGTGTATATAAGTGCACCTCATATATGATTATCGGACATTTACCAATTTTCGGCCTTGTTTTCTATTTTGGTTGTACAATTACTAAAGTAAATCCCACACACTTTAATGACCACACTGTTAGGATATTTTTAATTAAGTAGTATTGTTTTTTTTTAGAAAATGTCACTTTCGCCAGGGAAAGTCGGAAAAAGAAGACTAATTATTCATGTACAAGGAGGCAGAAGAAGGAATAACAATTCCGTTAAAAAGATATAGGTTTGTTATTTTGATTTTTGCAATACTAAGGACACCAGAGAATACATAATATCAAGTGTTATTAAATGTTATCTTTTTTTTTAGAGAGCGTACTATAGCAGCAACCAAAATATCAAAAGGCACCTTCACCAAACTCCAGAAGGAATCTTGCAAAGTCTTTGATAATCCAAGCTGTTCCTTTTCGTCACCCAAGAAAAAGCGCCCACAATTAAAAAGGAAATTAGATTCCATTAACCCTGGGCAACTAAAGGCCATAAGAGAAGTTGTTTATAACTTTTATTTGATAGAAAAAAGAAGACCGACTCTTAAATGTAAGAAGTTTTTAATATTTATTTGTTTCGACGCATAATTTATTATTTCAAATACCTAGATAGCTTATATTATAACAATGTTTTATTTCTTCCAGTGATTTTGGAGAAAATCATAGATCAGGCAATCATTCATGAAGAATTAAGTGTTTCATGTCTAGGAAGACTTCTGAAAAAAATTGGATTTAGGTATGTACTTATGAATTTTTCTAAAAATTGTATTGGTAATTTAGGTGATAATTTTTACAAAATTTTCAATATGCATATCTCCAATTTTTTAGATGGACAAAAACCAACGATAATAGAAAGGCACTTATGGAAAAGCATGATATCAGGCTGAAAAGAATCAAGTATTTGAAACAAATTACAGAGTACAGAAAAGAAAATCGGCCTATTATTTACACTGATGAAACATATATACATAGCAGTCACACTTCCGATAAAGGATGGTTTGATGACAGCTCAAAAGGCTTTCGAAAGCCTATTTCAAAGGGACAACGTCTTATTGTTCTTCATGCTGGTGGCGAGGGAGGTTTTATCAACAATGGCCTGCTTATATTCCGTTCAGGTGAGATTATTCGAAATTATCATTCATATCATTATTAGGGTTGGACAACTAAGAATAATTATAGTCATTCAAAAAAATCTAAAGTTCTTGACCTCTACGAGGATAAAAATAAAAGATTTTTTTGAAATGTGTTGTTGATTATGTGATTATTATACCGATTACATATTATTATTTTTATTTTATTTTAGGTTCAAAAAGTGGTGATTATCATGATGACATGAACCATGACAATTTCATGAAATGGGTTAAGCAACAATTGATTCCCAACTTGCCTGATAGATCAGTATTGGTACTTGAAAACGCCTCCTACCATAATGTCGCTGTTAAGAAAAATATTGCATCCGCCGCGAAAAAACAGGAAATGGTTGACTGGCTAAAAGAAAAAAACATTGAATTTGGTGAGCGATTAACCAAATCAGTGCTATACGAAATAATATGCAAAAACAAGGAAAAATATCTTTCATCGTGCAAGCTGGATGTATTAATGGAGAGCCACGGACATTGTGTTTTGCGTTTGCCACCTTACCATCCGGAACTTAACGCCATCGAAAAAATCTGGGCATCCGTAAAAAATTGGGTGGCAACCAGAAATACCACGTTTAAATTAGCCGATGTAGAAGCACTGGCCCGGAAAAAGTTCAGTGAAATGTCGTCAGAAGAGCCACAGGAATGGAAAAACATTTGTAGACACGTCAAAGATCACGAAGACAAAGTTATTGAGAGGGAGCATATTTTCGACGAAGCATTAGAACAATTCAAATTCGTCGTAAACACAGGCTCCTCGGAAGAATTTGGTTCTGACATTAGTTTTAGTTCTAACAGCAGTATGGGATGTCAGATTCTATCTGCTTCACCCTTACAAGGAGACTCAGAATCTGACTCTGAATGACTTAATCGAATCAAAAACATAATCTAGAATAGTCTTCAAGTAAATATATTAACGTTTTATTTAAACTTTACATGTTTTTATTTCATTTGATTTTAAATTCCTAAATTATTATGTAGGTAGCTTGTAACATGCCTTTCATTCGACTCCAACTGATTATGGAACAAATTTCTATAAAAATCGATTTTTAATGCAACACTACTTAAATCAAAATTATCATTTGTTCTTTATTCGTAATTAGATGTAAAGACGATACCCGAGACGATACCTTACCAGTGGTTTATAATTTTTAAAACAGTCAATTATATAACGAAAATTGAGTAAATCAAAATTATTATTGTTCACCTATATGGATATTATTTGTATTTACATGTCTAAACGACACGCCGCCTATGGTTCTTCATGACGACACACCAGTGAGCGGAATACAAGAGAAAGAGGTCCAACCCATTCCGCGCAACTTTCGACGACGTCACCGTACCATATAAGTTTGGTTCTCACTTTTTCTATCTGTATACTTGTGGTTTGTGACGTCACAAACCAGAAAAATAACAAAAATGCGAGGATTCCAAATTTCTCATTAGTAAATCATTACACATTCCACTAGCTAGAAACTATTTCCGTCCTTTACTACATTATAAAAAAATAAAGGATAGATAATCCTTATTAACTCATTTAAATTTCGCATTTCTGCATGGCTTTAGCCAATCAGAGAGCGTTTTCAATCACGTGCTTTTTCGATTGAATTTTTAGTTTTTATTTAATAATTTATTCAATAATTTGACTAAAATCTTGCAAAATATTGTTCATTCTCGGTTGCATTGATGTATCTGCGTCAAAAAATATCATAATTTGCCATATTTCCGGCACGTGAAAGTGGCCCATTGGTACAGCATTCGTTTAACACTTTTTATGCCAAGGGCGTCTGGCTCGAGACATACATATATTTCGCCTGAAGGGCAATAAATCTAAAAATGCCCGTGGTGCATACAATGCTTTATTTTCCACTCAAAACAATGTTCTTCCATTAATTCAGTACCAAACAAAATCAGTTGAACTTGTGTGATGGAATATTGTTTTGTATTCTGATATGTACATTCTGATATTCTGATATGTACAACGTTTTATCTACAAAGCGAAAAATAGGAAAATGATTTTTTCAATTTTCGTTTATTAGTAGTTGTCTACCTTCATTTCACCTAGGTTTAACTATGACATTTGTCAAATCACAAAAACTAGTTGGTTTATAGATTCATAACCAAACAACACGCGTTGCTGTAATTCAGTAGTTATAAAATACGTTTAGATAATTTTTAATTTTATCCGCTAATAGAACTGAAAATGAATCAGTCACTCTAAATCTCCAAGGGATTGAGAATAGAACGTTGAGCGGAAATTTAAATGTGATTGGTAAAAGAGTTTTGAAAAGTTAAAATCAAACACAGACCAACATACAATTTTCAAATTACCATTCTATTAATCTCATGTTCGGCTATAGTTTCTAATAAATGACTTGATTACAAAAAAGGTACTCAATTGATAACATATGAAAACTGAATTTTATAAATAAGGTACCTACGTAACAATGATTTTTAACTATTTTAAATTATGACAAATAAAAAATTTCAATTATCTGAGCGCTAATTGGTGCACAATAATTTTGATTAACCTGTTTTTCAATTCAATTTTCTTATGTTATCTATTTAGTAGGTACCTACTTTGTAAATTCGTCATTTATTACAAAGTGTAGTCGAACATGAGTTGAATTGAATGCTGAATGTTGTTTTTTTTTAATTGTTAGTAATTTATTTAAATTAGTGAAAAATTGAACATAGGTTTCATTTCACATTTCACGAAGGTTTGTACTTATGACATCGATAATGTCATAACTTGGAAAATAGTATATTGTTTCATTAGGAGTAAAAATGATACTTTTTGTAGCGAGACTAAATGTTTTGGTTAGTTTAGTGAGGTTAAGAAAGTCATCATTTTTTGACGTTTGCGGAAAGAAAAATTTGTCGTAGATTTCATATAAATTCAATAGCGTTCAGATTTTGTATTGTATTGAAAGACTTCTGGTTTAAAAACCGACGAACGTTTTTGACGTCATTAATTTTGTTTCAGCCAATTTTTATTTTTTAAAAAAGAAAGGCAAAAGTATAAACCCCCGTGAAACAATCAGCAAAAAATATGTTTAATTATACTCTTGTTAAAAATCAAACTTTTCTCCAAAAAATATTAATTTCTCTTTTACAAGAGGTTTTTTTAATGTTTTCCTCATACTTTACAGGGTGATCTATTATTAATGTCACCCCTCCTAACTTTTTCATTTGACGTTTTTGACAGAAGTGTCAAATACAAAAGTTTTAAGATATTGTCAAAAGTTTTTAACTAAATTAGTTTCAAGCATACAGGGTGCATCAAAAAAGTGTACCAGAACGAAGTTATATATGAGACCATGTATATTGGGAAGGCGGGGCAGAACAGGGTACTTAACGTTTGATGCTCAATTGTCACTACAAAATTGACAATATATATTTTTTTCTGCTATAGGTCTATTACTTAACATGTGAATCAAGGTTTTCCACCATTTTTAACAGTTATATAAATAATTTTGAGAAACCAAAAAAGTGTACCTATTTATATTTTTCACCAGAAAAACGGCTGGGTTCGGTAATTGCATCTGCGAGCAAAAAGAGCAAATTTTTGACACGGACGTCACGTGATCACTTATCTTTTTCCACGTGTCAAATCACGCCATATCTGTCTAATTTTGCCCATTTTGCTCGCAGATGCAATTACCAAACCCAGCCAACGGCAGCAACTGCTGCGTTCATGGATTCGATACTCTATTCTTGATGCTTTGTTTTCCGAATATAACTTCTAACTAACCATTTGAAAAAAATACTAAGTCGATATTAAACGGGACAGAACGCGGTACCCCATTATACCCCACTCCATTCCGCACCATGTACATTATTTACTTCCAAAGTAAAATTCTTGGAAAAAAAAACATAACTAGAGTAAAGCTAAAGTGATAAAAATGTTGCTTAATAAAAGCTCTCTGCATAACATAATTGAAATAGATTAAAATCCAATATGCAAATTACTTACGGTGGTTAATATAGAGGCTAATGTTACAATTTTACACGAAAATTCAAGTTGTTCAGGAGACTAGGAGACTAAACCCTTCCTCGAGGTTTTTCGGACAACTGACGTATCTGACATGCATTTGATGCGTTTAGGTGAGATTCAATGCAAGCTCGGATGTTTCCGGACGCACGTTCGCTTTTCAATGACGGTTTTCCGTTCTACCCCGCTACCCCGTTCTGCCCCGCTTTCCCCTACGCTTATTTATTAGTCCCCTTCAACCTGATTTCAACGATAGACGGTTTGATATGTGATATGTTTATCTTCGGTTCAAGTTATAGGGAAAAATGCGAAAATTCCTTCCTAGGTATCATGTTATTTATTTATTTTTTTAATAATAATAACTTAAAACATCTGGATTTAATATAATACTTCACCTTGTAAATTAATGAATAACATTTTAACAATAAACTGTTCAACATGAGACCTTGAAAGGGTTTTTCATGTTTTTCCCTATAACTATTAAAGATAGACATATCAAATCGTATATCGTTGAAATCAGGTTGAAGTTGAACTAATAAGCGCACAATATACATGGTGTTCCATCTAAATAAATATAACACTGCTACACTTTTTTTACACACCCTGTATGATTAAAACTGAATTAGTTAAAAAAATTCGAAAATTTCTCAAAACTTTTGTATTTGACACTTCTGCCAAAAACGTCAAATGAAAAAGTTAGGAGGGGTTGACATTTATGAGGGATAATAGATCACCCTATACTAGCTGCCTTCGGAAAGTGTGATCCAATAGGGAATTTTCATATTTCACAATTTATTTTTTTTTAGATACTTCTAGTGATCAGATATTACCTACATAGTTTTCTTTTTTTCCATTTTAATCTATACGTTGTAGGAAAAAAAAAATATTGAAATTCAAATTTAAAACTTTAGCGCGAAAACGCGAGGTTTCAATATGACAGCGCTTGTGACTCAACATTTTGTAAACAACAAACGCAGCAAACGAACTCCTGCTGACGCAGTGCTATTTTTGTGTTATTCA